CTTTCGATGTGGGATTCCTTACCATATATAAGACACTTAAATGGGCTTATAACATATGGGCCTATATTGGAGACTTTTCCAATTCACCCAAATTAATTACAACGGTCCACATCATTAAATAACATATTTAATGATCCAAATACATCAATTAATTCCAACACCTATGAGTGAAATCATTCCAATTCTTACATACGAAATCAAGTTCTTTGAATTTTTCACCAAGTTCTCAGAAGAATCACTTGTGGTTCCGTGTTTCTTCCTTAAAAGCCTCGTTTAATCCTACAAACTATTTATTGACGAATCTCTTTAAGCAATCTAAAAATTATAGAGGGAGTAAATATCATTTGAGGACATATTGAAAACTATTATTCTTCATATTGTGTGTTGTATCATTCTCCACTTTCATATTTTCTAATATATAGGAATCTACGGTCACTTTGACATTTCTTCCATACAGACGTATAGTACTACACCTGTTGTGGATACGTTTGATGTCGAACATGTGAAAATGAACTCACCGAGGGAGATTCTAGGTTATGCTCCATCAGTTGCAAGGTAAATTCAGGGTCAGGATGAATGATTTTTTTCCCACTTCGCTTGATTTCTTAGTCTGACTGGTTATTATAATATCATAGAAGCAGCTGAATAGACCAGATGATTTTAGTGAAAGAAGTCAGCGTGATGATGGTGGTGAAGAAAGTTCGTCTAATTGGCTAGAGTTACGATTATGAGACACAATGAGCTACACGATTTTGGTGGCGATGAAAGGCCATCGGGTGCACGAGATGAGCCAGCCACATAAACCTCGCGTGAGGTTATGACAATTTCAGAGACACTTCTCCTAGGCAAAAACATAAGAATTTAACATAAATTTCCCACTTTCATACTATATATAAAATTATATTTATTTTAATCAAGAAAAAATATTTTTCTTTAGTTTCAAAAAGCTTATTTGTTTTTATCTTTTTTACCTAATGATTTTCATTTTAATTACAATTTTTTTGAATATTTGTTTCTTGTTCAAATTCAATTTTCATTCCTCATTTTCTTGAAAAATAAGAGCCAGGATTAATTTTTTTTTTTTTTTCACTTTATTGGACTTGTTAGTCTATCTTGTTACGATTATGTGATACAAGCAGTTGAATGGGCCAAACGATTTTGATGGCGATGTAATTCAATCTGACTGGTTACAGTTACGAGCAGATGAATGAGTATGATGATTCTAGTGGCAATAAAGGGCCATAGAGTGAAAGAGCTAGATGATTGCGAAAAAGGTCGTTGATGAAATGAGACAAATGATATAGAGCACTAGTGAAGAGAACGTGCGTTGCACGTTAGTTGATGATGGTTGATGGTTTCCTTCATCT